CGCCCATTCCACATTCTCAGGCTCCTTCCTTAGTACCTGCTAACCCTGCACCCTCCTTGCTACTGTTTCCCAAACTTCTGCCCTTAGCTCCTCTCCAGACAAACTCTTATCCATCTCTCTTGTCACACTCTCTGCCTCCTCCTCCTATTATCTCACTTACATTTGCTCTGAGAAACCAAAGGCAAGATCTTCTCTCTGAGTCTGAGACGAGGGGGTTCTGAGGAAAGTGAAGAAGTTCCAGCCAGTGAAGGAAAGGCGTGAGAGAGCAGCAGTAGGGTATAGAGAGGGCTGAGAGTGCCACTGTGCGTGATGTGCTGAGAATATACCCATATCAAGCCTTCCTGCTGATTGTCCTCCTCCCACAGGCAGAGCCGCCTAGGTACAGACACAGACCAAGCAGGTCACTGGGTTTGTCAAACACTGCATGTTTCCCAGAGGACAAGATAATTATTGAAGTGATTGGACTTCCATGAAGTTCAAGTATGAGGACAGGGAGGAGTTAATGGATAATAGAAAGTAGCCAATGGACCTGAAGCTAAGTTAGGCACCTTCAGGGTTAAAATAATTCCTCAATTATTTTAGGTGCTACCTTTCATGCCTTCTGCAATAGTCACTCCCTGCTTTGCACTACTTTTGTACCTTGGAAAGACTTCTGCTGTCACCCTCTAATTACCTGTTTGAAAGTCTGTTCCCTCTACTATATGCTACTTTAATGCTCCAGCACTATCCCGGAACAGGACTTGGAGAGGTTAGGAACTTTAGCTCAGCATCTCATGATGGATAAAAAATGCAGCACAAGTTTTTTTTGTGTGTGACCACAGTCTGTGGTCTCAGTGCACCACAACTCAGGCTCTGCTATGCCTGCCTTTAGTTTCCAATATTTTGTCTACAATTCTTTTTTTTTTTTTTTTGAGATACAGGTTCGCTCTTCTTGCCCAGGCTGGAGTGCAGTGGTATGACCTTGGCTCACTGCAGCCTCCACCTCTCAGGTTCAAGCAAGTCTCCTGTCTCAGCCTCCCAAGTAGCTGGGATTACAGGCACCTGCCACCACGCCCGGCTAATTTTTGTATTTTTAGTAGAGATGGGGTTTCACCATGCTGGCCAGGCTGGTCTTGAACTCCTGACCTCAGGCGATCCACCCTCCTCCGCCTCCCAAAGTGCTGGGATTACAGGTGTGAGCCACTGCACCCGGCTTTGTCTACAGTTCTCAAGATGTAAGTAAAACAATATCTGCATAAAGATAAGGCAATTCTATTTTTAAATGTTAATAAAATTTTACATTATTTTAATTAATACTAGAAAAACCCAAGTCCTATTAGTAGCTTTGAATAAATTAAAGTTATTTAAAATGGGGCAATGCAAACTTCATATAAATTTAATCAAGATGAAAATACACATAGCTTCTAGGGAGTTAAAGAAGGTTTAACAAATGTCCTTTCATTAATGAAATACCTGAAAAATTATTTGATTGCCAGCTCCTAGAGGGCAGGAAGTATGTTTGCTAAATGAATTTCATGTATCTGTGACTCAGCACTATCCTTTACAAGGGTGTGACACTCACCAAGAGAATCAAGAAAGCACTTAATATTGCTTTTGAGCAAATGCAATAACATTTGTCTTATTTTTATAGTTTTAAAGCACTAACTTTGCAGTTAGCCTCTTATTTTGTTATCATTTGATGAAAATGAAAAAAATAAGCTGTTCTTCAAGATGAGCTCAGTATTAATTTTCCCTCACACACAAAAAAAGGTTTTTTAGTAGTTCACAAAGTATACCTTCCAACAGAGCATATATTTTAAAAATACAGCTGTAGGATATTTAAGTGCTTATTTTACTTTGATACTGTGAATTTCAAATCAGAATGGTACGGAACACTTGTGAATTGGGTCACAATGTCAAACGCTACAGGAGCCTGTAAAATTCGACTCTAACATCTTTAATTAAATGCTAATGGATATGTACATACAGCATGATTTTCTGAATTCCTTTCTGCTTGTCATACTTTAAAAACTATAAACAGGTTTCAAGATTTCCTGACCCCAAAATGGACTGAAATGGGGGAGAGGTGTGGAGAGGGAATGAGCATGCTGGAAATGTCAAGTCTCTAAAGAAACATTCATTCTGTGTTCTAGAGAACAGAACCAAGACCCTAAAATCCACCTTCTATAATCCATACTACCCCCACCTCAGGCAAAGTTTGCAAAATACCAGAAGGATGCCCCCATCAATTAAATTGGAAATACATGATTATTTGGTAAAGGATAAGGAATAGCCTCAAACATTTGCATCTGCTCCAATAAATCAGGTTACACTCCCAACTCAGTGATAGGCAGGGTGAACTATACCTGTATTTTTGTTAAGGGGCCCATTAGCAAATCTAGTCACCCCTCCCTATTCATGGTTAGATTCACAATTGATTTATTATAAGCTGGGCCTGAGGAAAGAGGCAGACGACTGAAGGCATTAGAGATGTCACTGGCGATTTCCTCTTCTTTCCAATTAAAGGTATTGTACTGTACACAGCAAAGTGAGTTTCTCATCTCAAGTACACAGTAGGGAGAAACAAACCTGAGAAAATTGTGATTGTTTTCATTAAGTATGGTTAACACAGGCAGCATATATTAGTGCAAAACAAGAACAAAGAAAATGTATTTCCTTTCACAGTAGGAGAAAAACAAAGTGAGACAGCAATAGGATCTGTAATAAGTTGATAGATTTAATAAAATGGAAAAGGAAACATGTAGACCCATATTGAAAGGGAAGTCAACTTGATACCAGGACAACAGATCTAGCGAGTCTAAGAGGAGCTTCTGTGCTTTCTTAAGGCCTCACTAAAGAAGGTATTAAATCATGATATCTTTAAGACTATGTAAGGGAAAACCCAGCATTCTTTTACAAGCTAGGTTTCCAGCCAAAACGCAAGGAATATTTATTCAAATATTTACGAGAAATTCATACAAAACTTAGAAAATGCAGTGCAAAATTTAGGAATACAGTATTTTAATAATATGTGAAACTAAATGAGTCAATGGAAGGAATCTCAATGGGAGAAAACATAAATGGCATTGATTTCATAAACCCATCGTTGTTTTGCCATCCAAGACAAGTACAGATCTGTTCCTTCTATTAGCAAAGACTTATTTGCTGCCTAGCTTGAAATTTCTTCAGCACAGCTAAAATAATATAGTCCTGGTGGTTATTAACTCCTGACATATATATTTAAAGAAAAAGGAACAGTAATTAGATAAATGAGGTTTTAATTTAAATATATTTACATATACTAACATACATACTTGTTTCTAATGTTTCTTTGGTATAGAGCCAGTAAATGTTGGATCCTCTTCATCTATCTGCTTCCTTAGTCCTAGTCTTCACTTCATTCATTAATTTATTGAGCACTTAAACTCTGATGTGAGCTAGGTTCTGTCAATAAAAATCAGTGAGTTGCCAATAACTGAGGCACCACTCAGAGAAGCTGAGCCTGTGACTGTCTTCCTGGTTATTGAGGACAGCAGAAGAACAAACAGTCAAAGTCCAAATGAATTTAGTTTAAAGAAGTGCAAGGGAGAATTTTGTCAGAGCAAGTGTTAGAACACTAGAGATGATTATTGAGGAAAGCTGAGAAGCCTTTGCAGGTGTACTTAAAGGTAATGATTTCTTCTAAGTACAAATATCAGGATTATTCTTAATATTTAAGTTTTTTACCCTTTCTATTCCTCTTAGTGCTTGATGACAGAAATCCAACAAGCTCCATTTGGGTTACAATACGAGTATCTTCCAATTGGGAGAAAATTCAGCTTTCTTCCTGATAGAAAAACCTTTCAAAGGAGAACACTTGGGGCCCTTCTCAAAACTAAGATTGAAAACACGGGTTGATAATGTGATGTTGATAGCCATATGCCTCACAGACTCCTTCTGTATAAGCCAAAAGGCAGCCCAGAGGGGTGTGAAGGGTCTGTGGGTGTGGAGAAAACAAGATTGGCAAGGAGTAGTTAACTGTGGATTCTGGGTTGTGGGTAGATGGGGTTGATTATTCTAGTCTCCCTACTCTTTCCATAATCAAAAGGTTTTCAAGAGATGAAAGGTAAACTAGAGCTCAAACTGTACCATCAGTAAAAATGGGAGAGTAAATTGGAATGAAGGGTTAGAACAGCACAAGTAATTACCATTCACAGATAATTTTTTAAAAATTTTTTGTTTTAGGCTGGGCGCAGCGGCTCACGCCTGTAATCCCAACACTTTGGGAGGCCAAGACTGGTGGATTGCTTGAGCTCAAGAGTTCGAGGGCAGCCTGGGCAATGTAGTGAAACCCTGTCTTGACAAAAAATACAAAAATTAGCTGGGTGTGGTGCTGGACTCCTGTAGTCCCAGCTGTTTGGGAGACTCAGGTGGGAGGATCACTTGAGCCTGAGAGGTGGAGGTTGCAATGATTCGAGATGGCACCACTGCACTCCAGCCTGGGTAACAGAGTGAGACCCTATCTGAAACAACAACAACTTTGTTTTGTTAACTTAAATCCCCTCCCTCAATGCACAGCATAGTGATTATTTGGATATATACCTATTGCTATGCCCAGAAAAATTGATTAACTGGGCTTTTACTTCTCTTGCCTTGTCTTTGATGAAATGGCTCTAGTCAGGCAGCCAGGGGTGAAAGAAAAAGCAAAGGATCTAGATAAACCACAAGCTGTGCAATATAATCCATGAATAATCAAGAGCTGACAGGAGAAGGTCTGGTAGAAAAAAACAGTTGTGATGGACCAACAATTTCCACCTTGAATTTTTATTCCATTAATCACTCAGAAAGTCACAGAAAGTCGCATTATTTCCAATCACATTGCTCTCTAGAGTAGGTGCTCAATAAATGAATGTTAATTAGCTAAAATGGCATGCTTGTTTCAATCTTTCAATTACACATGGCCACACTATTCAAGCTTGACTTTTAAATGTATACCACAATGAAAGTGTGTTTTGATAAATCCAACGTGAGGTGTGTTCTACCTGATATCCAAAGAAGACCATCAGCCACATATCCAGCATGGCATGAAAGGGATCTGTCAAAGGACTGAACAAAAGTCCATTTGTTCTTCTTGGGGCAATATCGCTCAACTGTAGGTAGAACCTGGCGTAGTTCATTTCTGCCCCCAACTGCATAGAGGTATTCCTCCATGGCACCCAGCACAAAATGCTCCCGGCAGTTTTTCATGGGTGCTATCTCTGCCCAGGAATTACTGCGGGGGTCATAGCGACAGGCAGTCCTCACGGCACACGTCCGGCCACTGGCATGCTCAACTTCCCCTCCAGCCACAAACAGGAAGTCCCCCATGACTGCCACACAATGGTGGCTCCTTCCCACAGGCATGGGAGCCAGCTCACTCCAGTTGGCAATGGCGGCTATGAGAGCATTCTCCTGATCAACGGGATTGAAGTACCGAAGTTCCTTGACCTTGCAGACCTCGCGCTTTTTCCCACCAATGATATACAGAGTGTCTGACTGGAACCGTGGTTTGGTCCTGCGAGTCTGCCAGACGGGCTGTGCATAGATGCTCTGGTGGTATTCCAGGGCCTCGTTGACAAGGGCTGTTGCAGTCTCACTTGCTTGGACAAGGGGGTGGGACAGGGCAACTGTATGGAGAGTATCCACATCCATTAGGCCAAAGCGGATGTATTGCAGGAGCTCGTCCATGTGCTGGTAGTGGCAGTTGTGTTCCAACCACCTCACAGCTAGCTGAAACAGAGGGAAGCGAGATGAGAAGAGATACAAAGGTAAGAAAGAAAGAGAGAAAGCAACAGCATATAGGTAGGTTACCTGTATTCTTCCAGGCAGGGAATAATACAGACTTTCTTACAAACAGTATAACTGGAATATTTTGATGCCCAGATGAGTAACTTTTATTCTGTATCAGCAAAGACACAAAAGAACTCAAGACATTGCTGTAGGGGTAACAAACAATGTGAAGCAACACTGACGGGGGCTTCAGATATCATTTGGGGTGAACAATAATTGATTTTCAAAGAACGAAAATACTGTTGTGAAACAGCCTGTTCCCTTATGTTTCATGCATAAGAGGCTCAGTACACCCCACCACCAGGAAATGTCAATGGTGGGCAGTGTCATCATAGCTCAAGTAATATATGTCAACCCATAAGCCAAGGTGCTGTATCAATATGAGTAACGTAAGAAAATATGTGATCATCTGAGACCACAGGGTGTACTTGAGAGAAAATCAATATAACACTAGTAGAATGATTTAGAAAGAAAAAGGCTCCCCCTCCCACCCCACATTCCTTTAGTAGCTATAACAGTCAGGAAGCAATAAAAGAAAGAGTAAGATTCTAACCTATTAATTTTTTTCCCTCAATTAATTTTTACCTTGAAGACAGTTGTTATTTGCACATGTAAGATATTGGCAATTTGTTAGAGTCATTTTCACAAAAACAGAATATACAGGAGATCATCTTTGCATTATGTACATAATAGCAGAATGTAATCCTAACCTTTTTATTCCTTTCAGATCTCTTTTAAGAAGGAAAGGAGTTATAACATTTTGATATCAGCAGTGAGAATTTCTTAAAACTAAAGAAGGTACATTGTCATAAATAATAAAAATTATTAATTTTATTTATAATAAAATCATATAAATAAAATTACACATTTATTATTAAATAAAAAATTATTGTTAATTTTGTTATGACAATGTACTGCTTTAGTTTTAAGAAATTCTCCTTTTTTTAAATTAAAAAAAAATCATCAGGGCCAGGCACAGTAGCTCATGCCTGTAATCCCAGCACTTTGGAAGGCCGAGGCAGGCGGATCACGAGGTCAAGGGTTCGAGACCAGCCTGGCCGACATGGTGAAACCCTGTCTGTACTAAGAATACAAAAATTAGCCGGGCGTGGTGGCACATGCCTGTAGTCCCAGCCTACTCTGGAGGCTGAGGCAGGAGAACTGTTTGAACCTAGGAGGCTGAGGAGCTGAGATTGCATCACTGTACTCCAGCCTGGGCGACAGAGCAAGACTCCCTCTCGGGGGAAAAAAAAAATCATCAACGAAAAAAGCACAGTTCATTTATGGAGCACCTAAATTATTTTAATTAGTGTGACTTAATAGTTACATTTGGCAAACTTTCCTAGACACCAGCATAATGAAGTATATCTAACATCTTAGTCAACGTATTTGATATGAATTATTCTTAGCAGCACTTAAAGTAGATTTCCCAGACAATGTGAATGTGAGTCTGAAGGAATTAGCAGAAAAAAATGAAGCAAAGAAAGAGAATATTAAATAATTTTGATAGGGGTAGGAGGCAGGAAATTCTGGGAAGAAGGTGGGTCCCAGTGAGGGTCCCACCCTCAAGCCTGCCACCGCAGCCCAAAGTGAGAACATACATTCCTGTTTTATGCTCGAATGTTGACTTTTCCAAAACCACCCATGACCCACCCCACCCCCCATCCTGTACCCATAAAAACCCCTGACCCAGCCAGCAGCGGGGGAGAAGCAGTTGAACATCAAGAGGAGAAGCAGCAGCTAGATGTCAGAGACTACAATTGGAGAGAAGTGGCTTGACTTCAGAGGGATGGCTTGACAGCATAGCTTCAGAGAGGAGTCTGGTGGGTGATGGCCAGACTTCAGGGGAAGATTACCTTCCCACCCCATCCCCTCTCCAGCTCCCCTTTCTGCTGAGAGCCACTTTCACTGGCAATAAAATCCCCCACAATTACTATCTTCAACTTGTTTGTGTGACTTCATTCCTCCTGAATGCCAGACAAGAACTCAGGTGCCAAAAGGGTGACCCTCCACTGAGCTGTTAATATTTAAGCCACCCACAGATGGCAAAGATAAAAGAGGGCAGACTGTAACACTCCTTCTAGGGCTTTGGGGGCTACAGGCACTCCCCACTAAATGCTGCAGTGGGGCCTGCATGGAGTTTTGCTCCTGCCACTGCCCAAAAGCACTTGCCAGGTCCTGCACCCACTCACCTGCATGTTCCCTCCTATGAGGGGTTGGGTGCAGCTGGTTCGAGTGAGTGAAGTTCACCTCTGCTGGCGCTGAAGCGGCTGGCTAGCTCCAGCACTCACATTCCAGTTCCCGCCCATGAAGGGGTCAGGGAAACTGGGGGCCCGCCCAGGATCTTCCTCTGGGAACCTGCCTAGGATACATCAGAAGGGTGAGTAAAATGCAGATCTGTTTCTTATTGTCCTCAGACTTTCCTCTGATCTATGACCCTTGCAGAGGACAGGATGCAACCCTGCCATCCATCTCTCTCTTTCCCTCAGGTGAAAGGAATGTTGGCTCTATTTCCCTTCATGGAGGTTTAGTCACCATGTAGGACGAGAATAAAGTCCTGGGGCAACTGAAGGCATCGGGCCAAGGCCACTCCTCAGTGTTGCTGGAAGGCCCCTGGACTGGACCCAGTCCCAGATTTAATGGGTGGCTGGCTAAGAACCCCACCTCCAGACTTTTCTGTGGTATCTTTCCTTTCTTCCTTTATGGTTTGAAATGGCTCCTATCTGTTATTTTATAATGTTAAGGGTTTTGCTACAAACTGCAGAAATGTTACTAAGTAGAATGAGCATTTGGCCCAGCAATCAGATAAGCAATTCAGAACAATATGATTTCCATCTCTTCTTAGAGGTGCCACAACCACCCCCACACCAACAGCAGGAGGTGCCTGTTTTGAGTTTGCCCCTGCCAGCGCCGAAATAGCCAGCTAGCTCCATCACCTGTGCTCCAGTTCCCGCCTGCAAAGATGTCAAGGAAAATATCCTGCTTCAATTTTATTGTGCTTTACTTCCTTTTTGAACCATGGAATCAGGATTCTGGACTTCCCTGTTCATATGATAGATTTCACTAGGGGATGGGGGGGAAGTGTACTGAGGGAGGGAAAAGGAAATGTCATATTCTCAGACCACTGCTCCTTGGCAAACACAAACTGGGTTTTCATCCTAGTGAAAAGAATCACTAAACTCTCTAAGGCGCTGGATGATTTCGGACATTCAGAGTTTCTGCATCTATTTGAAAAAGGGTTCCAAAAGTCGAGATGCATTTGGGGCTTGTCTTTTTTGTTTTCTGAATCAAGTGAATGTGGAAGTGAATTCACTTCTGCAATGTAATGAATTGCACCTCTTAATGAGTGACAGACTGAGAGAAATGAAAAAGGAATGTCGCTAGGTGCCAAGGAGGCAGACACGGTAGAGGTCAGACAAGCGATACGCTCTAGATGCCTTTATAGAAGGTAGCAATTTTAACTAAATAAGGTACCAACCTGACAAAAAAAATTATCTATGTACGGTAATATCTGCAATAATCAAAGATATTGCAAAAGAAATCAGTGATATGGAAAAATGGTACTCATCAATCACCAGGTCTCTGCCAGAAGTGGAGACAGTTCCCACATGCCGCACCCTAGATTTTCTCTACCCTAATCTTGGAATTTTCAAGAGATGGGGTTCCAATTATTTCTGGGGAGACTGTTCAGCAACTTGATAAATAATTTTCCACTCTTTGCCCACAGTTTTGCAAAAGTTCTCAGGGATAAAGTCATCTGGTTCAAGGTCATTCCTTAGGCACCAGGTAAAATTTTCTGAAATATAATATTTGCTATTGTTCCTAATTTAATCAAGTAATTCTAGCTGATATTGCTTTGCTCTGCAACCAATTTCTTGGCATTCTTATATCCTTACAGTTCTGCATCTTTCATATAGATACTACGGGAAACAGCACTAGAGACATTAGATAAATATCCATGTCTCCATAGGCTCTTTTTATAGCATAGTGCTGCCCATTTAATTATTTTTCTCTCCTCATAAATCAGTTCTTCCTATGCCATAATCAATCTTCTAGCCCATCTCTGAACACCCTCTGGTTTATCTTTCTAGCAAACAGTATTACTAACTGCGTGAGAAGCACACAAGCCTCAACTATGCTATGCTTTTAAGAAAATCTCTAAAGAATAAAATTGGCCATAGAACAGTGCCCACTGTGATCTATTACTGATTAATTTCTGGTTTGTAGTCTACCATCATCCCACATCACATGTGTCGTGATGTTTTCTATGTTCAATTTCTCCAAATACTATGTATTACAGAATATTTTTTGCATAACTATTAGTTTGCATTTTCTGAGATATTTTTATCTTATTTCTTTCCAACATTTCTAACTTCTCATAGATTTCATGTAACTTTCAACTTTTATCATTTATTAATATTTTCAGACTGTACACATCATCCCTACTTGTTGGGTTTATATTTGTTCCAGATCAAAGGTGAATCTAATTTACAACTAACTATCTTGTCGCCAACTACAAACTTAACATGTACACAAATTACACGGAGGTTTCTGGTCAAAATCTAGGCTCTGATTCAGTAGGTGGTGGACTCGAGGATGAGGAGTCTGCACTTCCGACAAGCTCCTCGTTGCATATGCCACTGGCCCACGTACCACACTTTGAACAGGAAGGCTTTGGACAGATTTCCATTCATAACAGTATTCTCCTATCAGGCTGTCATGAATTTAGTTACTCTAGGAAGCTGTATATATTAACTGTTCCATCCACTACGGTAAATTGCTGCCTTATCAGAGAAAATTCACTCTGTTTTTTTAAATTTAAGCAGGTATAAATCCAATGAAGTTGAAGTAATGCTTAGGTTATGATATAGGATACTTAATTAGCTTAATATTACAGATGAGGTAGCATTTTTTGAGACCTTGGTTCTATACAGTCTATAAATTGATGGCTGATTCTGATAACATAAAGTAAGCCATAGAAACACTCTGCATTTTTGCCTTTGCAATAATAAACACATAAATGTAAAAGTGTTACTGTGCTCTGTTTTTACATTCATAAGAATCTAAAGGAAAAACCCCACTGAAATCACAGATAACTCTTGTTTATTCAAATAATAATTTTAAAATGGCAAAGAAAATTCAAAACAATGAGCCACTTCAAAATCACCTTGTGTTGTGAACTTCATTTGACACTATTCACTGCCATGCTGGTGGAGGGAATCCTGGAGCCCATTTAAGGAGCTTAGAGACTACAGCAAGAAGAAAGCTGATTTATCATTGCGGCATCATAGAACCCAAAGACAACAGTTAGCTTTGTGGTATATTTTGGTGCTTAAGCTTGAAAAAGATTATTCTTGGAACTGGTGGCTTTTAAAATAATGACATTACACTGAGAAAGCACAACTCAGGGTAAGCTGAATCCTATTCTAGCTTATTTATTCTGGCATACTGAAATCCCCATCACCCTAAATTCTAGGATTTAATCGGGAAGAAAATGGAGCAGGCAGCCTTTTTGGTGGCCAAGCCAGCAAGAGTGGAAAGGAAACGACAGATTCAGTTTAGGAGGACATTACAAAAGAGTGTTTAGGAAACATGGCCATTAGGTAAGACAATTCCTAAACCACCTGCAACACAGTGGACGTTATTTCCACGTACAACAGGAGGCCTCTCAAGCACCCTGCCTGACCCAGTTCACCTGACCACAATGGAGAACTGTTCCTTCCTAATAGGAACATTAAGTACAGTTTAATCCAACTTCAACCCAATTGATCCTCAGATATTTGCTAAGAACAGCACCTGACCCACAGTTTGCTATAAATATTTGTTGCATAAATGGAAAATCCTGTTTTTAGGCTATTTCTCACATTCTCTTAAACAAATAGTATCAATTTCTTTATTCACACAAACATACACACACGTATTTATCTATCACAGGCTTCAGTTTTCTATTTTATTATCTCATCTTTATGGCTTTCTTATAAGGCCTTTATAAGCCCTCAAGGCTCCACACTGCAGCATTCAGTGCCTTAAACATAGATACATAAGCCCTTGTTTTCCTCCCTCACATGTTCGGTGTTGGCCACTTCTATTTGAGATTCTTGGCAAGGCAATAGGCACTGTAGTCTTTTAAACCTTCACATAACTTATAAAATATTTGAGCAAGAAGATAGTTGAGTCCATTTGGCTCAAGCTTTTCAATTTTACAAATGGAAATCAAATCCACACAAGTTAACTGACTTAACCCAAGTCATATAATGAATTAGCAGAAAAGCTAGAACTAGAAACTAAGTTTTTAACCTATACAATGTATTTTTTATTATATCTACTTGTCATTATTTTTCCATCAATAATTATTTCAAGGGAAAATCCAGGCAAATGCACTAAGTCCAAACATAACTTCTATATTCAATAAATTAGAAAAATTCTGCTTTAAAAATAAGAATGCTTTGCTTCAAAATAGGTTGGCAGTATTTTTCAATGAGCCTCATTTATGGATTACTTCAGAAATAAAGACAATAGGTTTATGATACCAATTAAAGAGTTTGTAATTACAGAACAAATACTGAGGGGAAAGGACATGTCTGGAATCTTGAATTACTGCTTCACTTTTTATGAGAATATATATCTTACATTTATTTATTTATTTATTAATTAATTATTTATTTATTTTTGAGACAGGGGCTCACTCTGCTGCCCAGACTGGAGTTCAGGGGTGCGATCTTGGCTCACTAAAACCTCTGCCTCCCAGGCTCAAGCGATTCTCCTGCCCCAGCCTCCCGAGTAGCTGGGATTACAAGCACCCGCCACTACCACCCAGCTGATTTTTGTATTTTTAGTAGAGACGGGGTTTCACCATGTTGGCCAGGCTGGTCTCAAATTCCTGACCTCAATGATCCATCTGCCTTGGCTTCCTAAAGTGCTGGGATTACAGGTGTGAGCCACTGCACCCGGTCTATTTTTTAAATGTATTTTAATTCCAGATTATTTCCTGTTAACTAAAGTTGGCCCAAAAATATACAGAACAACTAATTCCTTCCCTAATCCCTTCCCTTTAGTTTTCTCAGCATATCCCTACTGATTGCTATTCTACAGAGTAGAATACATGATATATAATCCTAAACATAATAGTATATAATCCTAAATGCTACAAATATTGCCCTAGTGCAATTAAAATATGGAATTTACTCATATGTATTTCAGAAATGTATCAATTATATGAAAAAATGTTATATTCCTAACATTATCAAGTCCTCATATTGTGATTCTAATTCCTTTATTGTTCATGTGAAACACACTCAGATAGAAGCTGCTATTTTGACATCTAAAATTCCCGATCCTTTTAAAGAAGTGGATGTTTTGAATTCTAACTCTTGTATATATCCATATATATTATACACTATAACCCCAAAGGAATGCCAAAACAATGAAGATATTATTCTCAGATTTCCAGAAAATACATTAATTATGAAGTCATTCCAAATTCAAGAATATACATCATTGCACTCTTCTGCAGAACTGTCTTTATATCTTGCAAATATATATAAATACAAGTGCCCTTAAAAAGCAGGTTCTCATCAGATGAGTGATCAAATCTTTTAAGCAATGCTAACAAAGAATAAAGCCCTATGACATTGCCTTAAAGTAACAAGTATTTTTTTGTCTTGGTCTACAAATATTGTCTTTTACTTCATCGTAAAGAGCTGAGTAAGCAATGACTAGTATTTTTGCTGATAGCCTTTATTCTGCTCCTTGACCAGGGGCAGCTATTATTGTGCTCCTCTGTAAAATCTGGATGCAGACAGCTCTGCTGAAGGTGCACACTAAGTCCTCCTCTTTGCAGAATCCCACCCTGTGAGGCACAAGTGTCCATATCCTTACCAGTCTTGTCATCCCATTGAGATACGCCAGGGCACCAGTTTCCCCTCAGTGCACAAAAGGCAGCATAAATTCCACACTTCTTCAAACTCAGAAAAAGACAAAGGAAGGGCACAGGAGCAAGTCAAAAACTCACTCCTGAACCTCCATCAAAGAGCAGGGCAAGTTGACGAGCTCTTGGGCAACAAGAAGCAGGAAGCCAGGAAAGCATGTTTTAATAGAATGGATGATGATGCATCGACGAATCTTTTCCTTTCTAAACAGAGTATCGAACATGCTCTTTATCTTCTAATTTATGTTCTCAAAGGGAAGAGTTCAGTGATCGTTCTATATTAAAGTACATTGTTTTATATGTCATTTTATAACACCTTGAATTCCAATGAAGACAAAACTTTAGCATGTTACTGTTTTAATATTACATACAGTTTCTTTAAAAATGTGATGTTTCCCTAATGCAAGTGAGCAAGTGTCGCGATTTGCCATGCAATACTACACAGAAGCTCGCCTCTGTAACGTGAGTCATGTAAGGTGAAATAATGATGTAATAAACCAGAATAACAACTGCCATGGAGAGAAAAGTATATACTAATAAATAAATGTGACAGATCTTATAGTTACATTCTCTTCTTTGAGACCGAATGAAAAGTTTCAGTTCAAAAAGACAACTTTCCCATAAAATCCAAAATCACCAGAAACTAGGGACTCAGCATCAGAGCATTTTCCTTTACCAGAACAATGAAAATGTTACCATGGAGGAATATTAAAAATTATAACAGTGCTCACCTGAGTGCTATAATTAAAACTGTGTCAACATTTTCCTTGTAAAACAGATCTTTCAAGGGAGATTGCACATTAACCATTATAGCTGACTACAGACTTATGTAAGACGCATAGGCTATTTTTTCTTCTAAGAAATATATTTCAATGGAACCAAATCTGATGAGGCCCCGGGCTCATATACTGTAAGAAAAAATAAACCTGACAGATTTTTAAAGCAATATTCAGTTTATCACAGATGATAATAATACATTATTTCATTGTTCCTTTAAAATTCTGTGAAATTGAAAGATTGGTAAATGTTATTACGTTCACCTTTAACATGTGATTTGTTCTCTGGTAATCATCTTTAAACATATTTTTTAAAGTACATACTTCAGAACTCCAAAAGCAAAAAGCCCTTGCAACTAAAGGTATCTCTTTCCCACAAATGGGGATAAACACACAGGACTGGAAGAATCACAACAAAAACTACCCTGAGACCTGCCACCTGTAAGTTCCAGATATTGAAGGGGGTGCACGAAAAGTGACCCGAGTTGTCCCTTTGCTCAATCTTATAACAATAACAAAAGAGGATTTGTTTAAAAGGTAAATTTTATATCAAGATGAAGAGAAAATCGAGATAGGATAAGAGGTGAAGTTAATAACCTATGATATCCTTTTTACCTGTGAGATTCAGCCACCAGTATAAGCTGATCTTTGAAAAGCCAATATTAAAAGGGCAACGTGAGTATATGGCTGATATTGGATCCGTTATTTGGCTTCTCATCTGTAAAATAAATTAGTTGATGAGAGAGTGTCCTCCTTCTCTAGGATATATGTTACCTATGGATCCACCAAAAATCTTGTAAAGTAGAATTCTCTAATTTTCCTACAGGTGGTAGAAGCAACCAGTATTAATCTAGTATTCAAGTCACAGGTTTCTGTAGCACAGATAGTTTTGATAAATCCCTTTTCTGAAAAACAAGGTGACTTTTTTTGTCTAAACTCTGCTCGGCTGAAATGTCTGCGTGAATGTTTGCATGTATGAAAGTGCACGTGCACGTGGGGCCACATGCAGAGAAGTGGGTTACATCATAGTCACTCTCCCTAGGAACAACTTTGATCAGATTATATTATGAAATTGAATAATAATACCATCTCTTGTAAAAATAAAATAAAATTTGTGCCAAATAATAAAAATTTCAAATTTATTAAGGTGACTGCTTCAAGGTAATATTGGTTAGAATCCCAGAATAAGACTCATACATGGCCGGGCGCGGTGACTCACGCCTGTAATCCCAGCACTTTGGGAGGCCGAGACGGGCAGATCACGAAGTCAGGAGATCGAGACCATCCTGGCTAACACCGTGAAACCCCGTCTCTATTAAAAACACAAAAAATTAGCCGGGTGTGATGGTGGGAACCTATAGTCCCAGCGACTCCGGAGGCTGAGGCAGGAGAATGGCGTGAACCTGGGAGGCGGAGCTTGCAGTAAGCCGAGATAGCGCCACCGCACTCTAGCCTGGGTGACAGAGTGAGACTCCATCTAAAAAAAGAAAAAAAAAAAAAAAAAGAGATCTTATACATAAATTGAAGTTTTAGTAAATTGTTCACATACATTTTACCTCTGGACTGTCTTTAAATGCACCATTCCCTCCATGAGGTAATATAGTGGTATATTTATATTTATATATAATGGCATATTTATATATGTTTATTTATATATAATGGTATATTTATATTTATCTCACAGAGGTAAATATACCTTCATGATGGTGGAGGGTGGGAGGAGAGAGAGGAGCAGAAAAAATAACTGTTGGGTACTACGCTTAATATCTGGGTGATGAAATAATCTGTACAAACCCCGATGACATGAGTGTACCTATATAACAAACTTTCACGTGTACCCCCAAACCTAAAACTTATATGTATATATACCATTCCCATTCCATATCTAATATATACAAAACTTTTAAATGGCAAAAATGTCCTACAGGACAATAAAAAACAGCACCACCCTTGCCAATAATGTTGTAGGAAAAATGAAACTTCTTGGTCTCCTCATATTTGATCAAAACACATGTACAGTTATAGAATAACACCCTATAACTTCCCTTCAATGGTTTGATCATAGTATCTGAGCCAAAAGACAATATTCATCCATCTAGTCACTGATGGCTGGGATTGCATCAGAGCATTACTCAATGCTGGATTGATTGAAACTTCTAAATAAAATGATAGCTCCTGCATATTTATATAACATGTCCTACTAGATATTGAAGGAACTTTGCATGTGGTCACTGAGATATTCAGTTAATATTGTTAGAACAACACTGGAAAATGAGAGAAAACCAATTTGATCAATAAAAGAAAACCCTTCTGTATCATATTGGCAATAGGGACTAGAGCGACCTTACGTGGGTCACAACTCCCCCCATTGTTTCCTAGCTACTGCATGCAATAGAGATGCATTACCAGGGTGAAGTCAGCTGAAATGGCTAGGGAAATCCTGATGCTTTTTTCTGTCACAAATTGGTATATGCTTATAGAGGTAAATGTGACACAAGGAAAAGAATACAGGACTTGATGTCAAAAGATCTGTTTCTGCAACCTAATGTATTTGTGCATTTATGAAAAACCAACGTACTGATACTCAGTTTTATCAACATACTGATACTCTGTAAAACAAGTATGGTAATACCTATGTCATAGGGTTCTACAGAAGACTGAATGCGATAAGATATGTGAAGGTGCTTGGTAAACTGATATTTAGACAATGTACAGAATTTATATGATGGCAATATGCCTCCAAGAGATGAAGGTATTCCCCAATATAATTATCCTTTTGAATTCTTTTTTTTTTTTTTTTTTTTTTTGAGACGGAGTCTCGCCCTGTCTCCCAGGCTGGAGTGCAGTGGCCCAATCTCGGCTCACTGCAAGCTCCACCTCCCAGGTTCAAGCCATTCTCCTGCCTCAGCCTCCCGA